ACACCCAGGAACAAGACACCGACTTGCTCCTGGCCAATCGGCAGAGCACAGTCCTTTCTCCTCCCCTTACTCCAACCCCCCCCTATAAAACCCGTCTCCACACAGAGTTATCTCACTCTGCTTCCAGTCGCTGTGTCGGCCGGGAGAGGGAGTCGGGCTAGCTAGCTCAATAAAGGACCTTCTGCTTTTGCATCGGACTGGCTGGCTCCTGGTGTGGTCTTTTGGGGATCTTGAGATCTGGGCATAACAGTGCTCACCTGACTAGCTCAGGGGGGGCCTGTGTGGCAGCCTTGCAAACTCAGAGACCTAAAGTAAACACAAAGGACGGTCTTAAATAAAAACATTTTAATTTAAAAAAGCATTTTAGAGAGACCAAGATGGCGGCATAGGTAAACACCAGAGACTGCTGCCGCAAACAACCACTTCAAAAATACAACTAAAAGACGGAACGGACATCACCCAGAACCACAGGAAGGCTGGCTGAGGAGAGACTCTTCAACTAGAAGGAAAAATAACAGCACACCGAGGCTCAGAGGAGGCGCAGTGTGGAAAATACTCAGGTGCGGAGGTGCGCGCGCAAAGCGGGCTGGTGGCTGAGAGCGCGGTTGTCGTTTTCGGTCAGGGGGGAGTCTCAGACTCTGAGCTCCAGATACGGGCGAATCGCTGGGGACTCGGACCCAAACGGGAGAAGCGGGAGTGTCTGGCATCAGTTGGAAGGCAGCTTTCCCTCCGAGGTTTGCAGCGGTTCCGGGGGTTCTGAGAAGCAGAGCCTCTGGGAACAGGACTGAGGGCACCATAACGGCTCCCTCCGCCCGCCCTGTTGAGCCCGCCCCGCCCAAGCCCTGCGCAGAGCCATTTGCCGGATCGCCTCAGGCAAAGGCTAGATTAGCACCTCCCCAGAGGACAGAAGTTTTCCGCGGCAGACACAGCTGATTCACACAGCCAGTCGGCCTGGTGGTCAAATCCCTCTAGTATTAACTACAACAATCAAGGCTCAACTAGAACAAGACTGCGCACAAAGACCACTAGAGGGTGCACCAAGAAAGCATAAAAAATGCGGAGACAAAAAAACATGACAGAAATGGACGATATAGAGCTAAAAAACGCAATTTTGAGGGCTTGCAATAAACTTCTGGAGAGCCTCACGAAAACTAATGAGACCCTCGATGCTATGATAAAGAAACAACTAGAAATTAAGCATACACGGTCGGAAATAAAGAATATTACACCCAATAGCAGACCAGAGGAGCGCAAGAATCAAGCCAAAGATTTGAAATGCGAAGAAGCAAAAAACACCCAACCGGAAAAGCAAAATGAAAAAAGAATCCGAAAATACGAAGATAGTGTAAGGAGCCTCTGGGACAGCTTCAAGCGTACCAACATCAGAATAATAGGGGTGCCAGAAGATGAGAGACAGCAAGATATTGAAAACCTATTTGAAGAAATAATGGCAGAAAACTTCCCCCACCTGGTGAAAGAAATGGACTTACAGGTCCAAGAAGCGCAGAGAACCCCAAACAAAAGGAATCCAAAGAGGACCACACCAAGACACATCATAATTAAAATGCCAAGAGCAAAAGACAAAGAGAGAATCTTAAAAGCAGCAAGAGAAAGAGACTCAATTACCTACAAGGGAATACCCATACGACTGTCAGCTGATTTCTCAACAGAAACTTTGCAGGCCAGAAGGGAATGGCAAGAAATATTCAAAGTGATGAATACCAAGAACCTACAACCAAGATTACTTTATCCAGCAAAGCTATCATTCAGAATTGAAGGTCAGATAAAGAGCTTCACAGATAAGGAAAAGCTAAAGGAGTTCATCACCACTAAACCAGTATTATACGAAATGCTGAAAGGTATCCTTTAAGAAGAGGAAGAAGAAAAAGGTAAAGATACAAATTGTGAACAACAAACATGCATCTATCAACAAGTGAATCTAAGAACCAAGTGAATAAATAATCTGATGTACAGAATGAACTGGTGATTATAATGAATCAGGGACATAGAAAGGGAATGGACTGACTATTCTTGGGGGGGAAAGGGGAATGGGAGATGCGGGAAGAAACTGGACAAAAATCGTGCACCTATGGATGAGGACAGAGGGTGGGGTGGGAACTGGGAGGAGGGGAGTTATGGGGGGGGAAAAAAGAGGAACAAATGTAACCTGAACAATAAAGATTTAATTTAAAAAAAAAAAATAAATAAATAAAAAAGCATTTTATAGTGGGTAGCTGTGTCCTAGGCTAGTATCTTCTCTGACAAAGTCACTTTGATCTTTACTGAACCTATTGTCATTTTGCAGCTAAAATAACATACCCCTGGAATGTCAGGGTAACTAATAACTTCCCTTTTTCTGGAACCTCAGGGCACAACCAGGGTGCCTGGGCTCAAACCCCAGATTCCTGCCTGCCCTCTACACCCCCATTGGCATATTGTGGAAAATAGACCTCTGTGATCCATCTCCAGCATAGTCAGCTTTTAATGGAAATGATTACTGAGTTTCCCCAGGGCAAACAGAATGCAGGGAGGAGGGAAGAGGATAGAAGAACAAAGAACTGTGGACGTGGGTTAGCATCATGGTGGAAACCCCAGAGGCGACCATGATGAAACACCACGTGCCACCTCAATTAGACAGGGGATGGTGGAGACAACTAGAAAAGGCCTCAGCCCATTTTTTGAAATGGCCCCATGAGAGACTGTAAGACCCAGGTGACATATGAGGAAACTACCAGCCAATGAGGAACCGGAGAAGGGACTCTCGCACTCTAGATAAATAGCCTGTGACTGCTGCTCCGTGTGTGCCTGTACAGCCAGAAGGACACCTGCTTTTGCAAGACCATATTAAAGGTCTCATTTTTGCCATACTTCTGTCCCCAAGTCCATTGTTTGAATTCGGACAGGTGAGCATTTCTCACAATTTGGGGGTGTGTCTGGGGTTTCTGTGCCCCAGTTGAGGGGGAGACGTGTTCCACCCAGTTTTGGGTGGCCACTCTTTGCCTGGGAGCCCGTCTCTTCTTGGAGGCCACAGATAGGCCTGAGACTGTTTTGTTTTTTTGTTTTCTTTCCGGAAGATGGTGAAACTGACATCGGGACAAAAGACAGCCACCCACAGCAACCAGACAACCTTGTGCAAGGGCCAAGGTAGGAAAAATTGGACTATAAGTACTACTTTGGTGGTCGGGTGTCCTCAGAAATCAAGTGTGTGTGACTGAGTCTTGTCCTGGACACGAAGTGAGCATGGAGTCCTAATCTGCGGTTCTGTTCTCCCTCGAGGGAAATGGCAGATCTCAGGGTGTACACGACATCTCCAGTGAGGGGGGTTGAGTGCACAGCATAGTCACAGGGACTTTGCTGAGGATGGGAAAC